TATTGGTGCTGAAAATTAACCTTGAGCCACACTCGGGAATGCCGCCAGGGAGGTTAAAAGGTCCTCCAAGCTACTTACCATTGTTCTACCCCAGCAGACCTGCACCCTCCCCCTGCACCCTCCCCATTTAGGTGCAGTCCCTGTTGTAACCGACTGAAAAGTCAGCCCAGTTTTCTAGGAACCCAAACCCCTCTTTCTTTTACCAGTTCCTTTCCTCCTTCTTTGTTACTTGCACTTTCCAGATGTTTCCATAAACCCTGTAAAGAAAATAACATTGCATATATTGCAAATCTGTATATATTAAGTAGGCCACAGTATATACTGCAGTTAAAAACAAAAATTAATTGAGCATCATAAGGGTGACAGATGTATTTACGAACACTATTTGGCTTAATATTTGCTAAGCATTTATTAATTCAATTTTCTTGTGCGTTATTGCGATGTGGTCACTTCCTGATGACTCCATCCTCAGTGAAAGGTCCCACAACAAGCTCTCGTTTTATTCTAAAGAAAAAAGTTCCGGTTTTGTACACTGCTCCCACCTTTTTGTAGGCAATAAAAACTAGAGTGTGCGCTCACACAATGAAAACCAGACAAGCAAAAGGTGCTAGTTAAAACATTTATTAAGAACAGTATCCACGGGAGCAAGCAGAATCATAAACCCGGAACAAGCCAAAGTCAGGAGCCAGAGTGGGTAGTTGTTCAAGCCAGGTCAGGAACACAGAAATCAGCGTTGTCAGGAACAAGCCAGGAGCAGGAGCCAGAGGAGAACGTCAGCCAGGATCGGGTCATACACAGAATCGGGATACTCAGAGCAGCAGGAATGCACTAGCAGGAAGACCACGCAAGGTCAGACTGGACTGAGTGGTTTATATATAGTGAGCGGGGTGACATCATCACTCAGAGACGGGAAACTCCCATCTGACTCTCTCAGATGATGCTCTCCTGGCCATAAGAGGGAGCCTGGAAGTAGTGCGCAACATTCCAGAGTCTGCTCAGGCAAAGAAGGAAACACAGGTGAGTAAAATGGCAGCCAAGCCAGAATGCTGCAAACCAGTAAAGTCAGGGTGGAACCCTGACGGAGTGAGATAATAAATAAATATATATTCTATATATTCCAGCGCATTCTGCACATTTGCGGCTCTTTAATAGCCGCAAACGAGCAGCATCTGTGCGGGTTTAAAAATATTAGCGTTTTTAAACGCTAAACACGGAAAACCGTGCGAGAACCGCAAACGCTATTTGTGAATGCAGCTTCAGAGATAAGATGACGGTTTTAGTGCAGAATAACACTTTTGGCAGTTGGAATAGTAACTTTTATAGATATCTGTACATCAGACCAAAAAGGGGGACAACTAAGGAGGAAAGGGGGACAGATGGATTTGGTTCAAAATGAGGGACATTTGGGAAGTATGAGGTAATGTATACCTAAGGCAAGCCTTCTACCAGTCACCCCATGAAGGCCAGGTTGGTTGGGAGGTGATGTACCTCCTACTTTTAATTTTAGGGAAAAGCTGAAGCAGCTAGACCATTTAACAAAGTAAGAAGAGAACTCCATGTAGTGTCTCTCTGTGGAACTGAACACAGGATTTCACTGCTACAATGATGGCCACTTAATCACTGTGCTGAACATATATGTTTAACATCACACTATGCAAAGCTTCTATTATTTAAAGTGACCCTAAACTCAGGAGCTAAATCTTAAAAATACATTCAAGTACCTTTTAATTATTAACAAAAATGTATCTTATTTGTGTATCACTCGGCTGTAGATCCTCAAATCATCTCTGAATTGGTGCTGACACTGTCCTTCCTTCTGGAGGGGGGCTACTTTGTTCCCCATGGTCCCTGTGTGTGTTGTAAAGTAGTCACTGCTCCTAGCTCGCTTCTGTGATGGACTACAATCTCAATACAAATGACTAAACTAAACGTGAAATTTGTAGTCCATCATTAGATCGATATTTTTTTTTTTTCTCTACATAAAACCAGAATGCAATGATTTGCAAATCCCATAAACCCAGATTTTATTCACAATAGATTTCTATCCAAATGTTTAAATTGAGAAAATGTTCCATTTTAAAAAATAAGGTAATTTTGAAATTGATGGCAGCAACGTGTATCAAAAAAGTTGGGAAAGGGCAACAAAAAGCTGGCAAAGTAAGAGGTACTAACAAGGAAGAGCTGGAAGAACATTTTGCAACTAATTAGGTGAATTAGCAATAGGCCAATAACATGATTGGGTATAAAAAGAGCATCTTAGGGAGTCGGAGTGTCTCAGAAGTAAAGATGGGCAGAGGTTTACCAATCTGTGAAAAGCTACATCTTAAAATTGTCGAACAATTTCATAATAATGTTCCTCAACTAAAATTGCTAACACATTTTATAATATTAAAAGATTCTGAGAATTTGAATGCCTGTGCAAGGGAGAAGGCCGAAACGCAATATTCTGTGATCTTCAGGGCCCTCAGACGGCCCTGCATTACAAACAGACGTGATTCTGTGATGGACATCACTGCATGTTCTCAGGAATACTTAAAAGATTACTATCTGTGAACACAGTTCGCCGTGCCATCCAAAAATCAAGTTAAAGCTCTATCATGCAAAGAAGAAGCCCGATGTGAACATGATCCAGAAACACCGCCGTCTTCTCTGGGCCAAAGAGGAGAGGGACCTTCTGGCTTGTTATCAGTGTTCCTGTATCTCTGATGGTATGGGGGTGCATTAGTGTGTATGGAATGGGCAGCTTGCACATCTGGAAAGGCACCATCAATGCTGAAAGATATGTCCAGTTTTTAGAGCAGCATATGCTCCCATCCAGACAATGTATTTTTCAGGGAAGGCCTTGCATGTTTCAGCAGGAGAATGCTAAACCGAGTACTGCATCTATGACAACAGCATGGCTTCGTTGTAGAAGAGTCAGAGTGCTTAACGGACATGCCTTCAGTCCAGTCCTTTCACCAACTGAAAATATTTGGCGCATCTTGAAAGGAAAAATACGACAAAGAAGACCCAGGACTGTTGAGCAGTTAGAATCCTATATCACACAAGAATTGGACAGCATTCCTCTCCCAAAACTCCAGCAACTGGTCTCCGTTCCCAGATGTTTATAGAGTTTTGCTAAAAGAAGAGGGGATGCTACACTGTGATAAACATGGCCCTGTTGCAACTTTTTTGAGACGTGTTGGTGCCATCAATTTCAAAATTGCCTTATTTTTCCCTAAAATTGTAAATTTTTCTCAGTTTAAACACTTGATATGTTTGCTATTGTGAATAAAATCTGGTTTATAAGATTTGCAGATCATTGCATTCTGTTTTATGTAGATTTTACACGGCGTCCTAACTTTTTTGGAAATGGGTTTGTAACGTGTACGCACGTTGGGTGCACCTACATATGAAAACAACAATTAGGCTACTCATGTTGGGTATCGTCACATGCACCAGAGTGGGAGAAATAGTTCTGGGGCCAATATTCACAGTTAATGCTAAACTGATGACCTGTATGGGCTTTTAAATCTATGGGCAATTTGGGTTACCATATTTTTGTTGTCATTTCAACAACAAAGCTTTGCATGTTGGGTATCTATTTACTCAGCACATCTTGAGCTTTTATATTTTACAAAATAAATGGGTATTCCATTTTTGTGCCCTAAAATTAGCTTAAGTGTATTTCTTACTAAAATTTGGGGTTTGATAAAGAGTTGTGCTAATATCATGTGACTTAAATATCTGTAACTGCCGCCATTTTATTCTACCGGGTCTGTGCTTTCAGGAAATATATAACTCTTTTATCACTATTTTAAGTGATTTGAAACCCTAAAATGTGCATTATAATGTGCGCAAAAAAATAAGAAAAGGGGCAGACTCAATGGACCTCCTGCTTTCGGGTTGACCTTTTATATGTTTTCTATCTGTATTCGAGGTTATTCTCCTAGTTCCCTGATGCATTCCGTGCTTCCTCCCTCCAACCTCCATGTCCCTACTGTGTCCTGGATTAGTGTGGTGGGAGTGCAGAGGGGAACCAGGAGATTGACACACCTGGAAGCACTGGCGGAACTACCAGGGTCGCAGCGGTCACACTTGCGACCGGGACCAGGTGTTCCGCCAGTTCGGGGGGGGCCCAAAGAGCGGGGGAGGCCCGCCGCTCGCAGCTACTCATGCTGCCCACGGCGCCGCCGCCGCCGTCTTCACCGCTGCCACCCGCAGTGTCTTTTGCGGCAGCGGTGAATAGAAGATGTAGCGCTGCGGGTGTGTGGCCTGTCAAGGGGTGACGGCCGTGACGCTTGTCGGGGAACTCCAATTCCCAGCAGGCAACTGAGGAGGGAGCAGCCGAGCACGAGCAGGCCCGGCGGGATAAACGCCGCACTGTAGGACGTCCTGGCTTGAGTTTAACGGTTTCTTGCACCAGGGCCCTGAGGTTTCTAGTTACGCCTCTGCCTGGAAGTGTCAGTTTCTGAAGAAGATATCGGATGATTTCTTACCAAAAGAGCTGTATTGAAAGAAAAGGGCAGCTGGAGATGTAACTAGAGTTGCAAAGTCGCATATATCCTCGGCATATAGAACAGCTGTTGTGTATCTACTAGAACACAGACATAGCAAAGGCATTGCATCCTATCTAAAAATAATGTCTCAATAGATCTCAGTATTTGCCCAATTTAGCATAATTCACATACTTTAGATCCTTCACTCTTCTCTGCAGAGCTGACAAATCTCCCTTTTTGTGAAAACAAACATCTCTAATTGCGTAAGGTGATTATATTCACCGTCTGGTTCCATCACAAATGGGTTGGTTTTTTTTCCCCCGCATTCTTGATCAAAACTATAAGAGTGTAAGCATAAGTTTGGCTTGATGGACTTTGAACTTTTTCAGATTTACTATGTATTTTATACATTCTATTTAAAGATATTTAGTTAGAGATGGATCCGCTAGAAATAAGACTGATTGATTGGTTTCCAGTATGTATTAATCACATTACTAAATGAGGAAATGCATTGTTTTGCAGATTTTCGGAGCTCTTGTCTGGATTCTGGTGGCGGCATCCAATGTGCCAGTGCCAGTTGTACAAGGATGGGTGATGTTTGTGTCAGTAACGGCATTTTTCTGCTCTCTTGTCTACCTGTGTGTGTTCCTGTGCGGCCTGGTCCACATGATCCAAACCAACTGGAACTTTGTGGTAAGAGTCATTCTTATTTATCTACATTAGTGTTTCCGGTTGTAACTTGTAACATTGAAAAATAAGTAGGATACTGGATAGTGGACCTGAACTCAAAGAATAAAGGTTTGCTATCTTATAGGGTACATTTGGAAATGTTATTTGTGAAAAAAAACAGGACCATGAAAGATTTACCTTTTTGGTCTCCCATTTAAAAAAAAGGAGTGCACTTTCTGTACCTTCAACCTCATATGATCACTGCAGTACAAGATCATCTAAGGCACTGCTGGCACTGACTGCTAATCTTAGGAGTGAGCTTTGGTTTTGTCACTACATGTCTGATGCCATTGTTGTCCTTGCTATAGAAGAGGCTGTACCTAGGGACATGCAGTGCATGGATCTCCCTGCTTATTCTTCCTTCATTCTGTTGGATCTGTGCTGCCCCAACCTCTCCTGCTGCTGCTTCTTGATCATTCCCCCACCAGTAATCAGCTCAATGGTGCAGAACAAGACATGGTAAGTCAGTAATGGGGAAAACATGAGCTGTAAGAAAACATTAGTTTGGTTGCCCTCCGCTGGACTTTTTACAACTCAAGGACATCTTTTCTTAGTACTGGTGACCAGAACTGGACCGCATACTCCAGATGAGGTCGAACCAATGATCTATAAAGTGGCAAAATTATAGACTTGTCCCTGCAATACATTCCCTTTTTTAATACAGGACAAGACCCTGCTAGCTTTGTTTACAGCAGCCTGGCACTGCAAACTACCTTTCAGTTTGTGGTCTACAATGACCCCCAAATCCTTCTCCATTTCTGACTTCCCCAGCGGCATACCCATAATTGTATAACCCATTTGTTTATTTTTAATTCCAAAGTGCATTACTTTGCATTTATCGACATTAAACCTCATCTGCCACATTAATGCCCACTCCCCTATTTTATCCAGGTCCTCCTGTAATGTTATAATGTCTAAGTCCGTGTCTATTACCCTCCCAATTTTGGTGTCATCCGCAAACACGGAAATATCGCTGTTAACACCCTCCCCGATGTCATTAATAAATAAGTTGAACAATATGGGACCCAGCACAGAACCCTGAGGCACACCGCTCATTACACTAGCCCAGTCTGAAAAGGTGCCATTTACAGATACCCTCTGGAGTTGAGTTGGTTCGGATTGTGAAAGACCTGAGGCACTCCTGAGCAATTTAAAAAAAAAAAATAATGCACCCTTTTATACCATCCCTATCACACCTATTCCTTCACGTCACCCCTCTTCCACCATACACTCCCTGCATTCCTCTTCCACCACTGCACTGTAATCACCCATATTCCACGACTGCACCCTCAGCACCCCTCTTTCATCTCTGCACCCTCATAACTCTTCTTCCACCACTGTACTCCAGCACCCCTCCTCCACCACTGCCCCCTCTTCCATCACTCTTACCTGCGGGTAATAATCCAGCTGTCTGAGGGCAGTGCTGGTCTAGGGGTGGTGCCAGGGAATTGCAGTGGAGGTTTCAGGGTAGTGTTGCCCATAAGTAATATGATGAGTTAGTGGGTGATGCCACAGTGGCCAGCTACAAGCTTAAAAGAAAATAGTGGGTGGTTTGAGCATCGGCATCTGGGGCACTGAGCAGGAGATAGGGCACCCATGCTGCAGTCCTGTCCCATTTCTGTTGTCATATGGTAGGGGTGAGTGAACATAGTCACCCTAGTATAGGAAGGGTATTACTGTCAGGATCATCAGGTGAAAATAAAGGAACTAAGGGGTTAAAATAAACTTTAAAACATGGACAGGAGGTTTTCACTTCTTCATTCAACCATCTGAGTTTCTGTTTTCATAAAACTGTTCAACACAGAACTAGCCCTATAAACCAAGCCCCAGGGAGAGGTCTGCCCGGGTCAGGAATGTCTTTACCGTATTTGTGTGTAAAAGGCTTCATTCTGCACCCATTGCTATCCTATCAAAGCCATTGGCACATGGGGTGAAAAGCTTATCAGTGTTCTCAATCTACAGTAATAACTTGTGAATATATCCAAAGGTTAAAGATTTGGTCACTCCGTATGACTTCCATGTGACTGAGTTAACTCCGCTAACTAGTGTATTCTGTTACCACACACATTTTAGACAACAAGATATTTGTAGTCTTGTTTTTCATGTATAAATCAGATGATTACAATACAGTATATACAATAAAGTGACCCTGTTGTTGGAATAGAAGCAAGAAAGTGCCCCCCCCTCCCCCTTACAAAGAGAGTGCATACTAACCTTTCCTGCCCCCTGACCTCTCCCACTGCCACCATCTGTACTGTCTTGGAGAGATATAGCTGCCTGAAGGACCTTTTAGCATGTAGCACACATTGGTGTGCACAGCGTCTCTTATTGTGGTGCTAAGCAATCATGGCGACAGTGCAAAAAGCAACATTTTGGAACCATGAATGGATGAAGGGACCATTCACTGTTCCGAAACGTTGCTTTTTGCACTGTCGCCATGATTGCTTAGCACCACAATAAGAGACGCTGTGCACGTTGGACCTTGGAGTGCGGGTGACTTCTTCATGTAGGGCACCGTAGCAGGAACCACAAGAGTGCAGTGTGGTCCAGGAATCCAACACTCCCAAAAGATTCTTTGGGCAGCTGTATCTCTGCAATGCAAGGCAGACTGGTGCTGTGGGTTAGGTTAGTAGAAACTCTCCTTTTTGCAAGGGGCACTTTTTTCCCAATTTTATTTTAGCAATAGCATCTCATAAAAGTATCAAGTCCAGTTTTGTAAATTGTAATTTACACTGACTTGTTACCTGGTATGTATAGCCAATTACTCTATGACTTATTGACCTCCAGAGACCTGTGTCTGACCCAAACTCAATGCCTGGTCAACTAAACCCTAGCTGGACTGAGTCAGGCCAACGCTGACCAAATATTTACCTAATGGCCTGTTCACACAAGGGAATGCAGCATTGCCTGCACCAAAAATACACATCTCGGGTGTTCCCAGCAATATAATGTAGGGAAACGGCAAAAAGTATCACACATGTCCGTTTATATTTGGACATTAAATATAGCCCAGTTGCAGTGATTCATTTTACTTGTAGATTTAACCATTGTAGTCCCCGGACCTTTTTTCTCTTTTCGCGGGGGCTGGGGGCATATGGGGCTTTGATATAGTAGTAGATTTGGATACATATATTTTTATTTTTTTTTAATTTTTTCCCTTTTGTCTTCTTTCTCTGTCGCAGTTACATAACACATATATGTTTTGTTCCTGCTCACAGCCTGTGGCTACACAGTGAAAAGAAAAGCATAAGGCTAATGAGCACATCTCCCGGTCACTCTGCTTTCTTCTATTAAGCTCGCACTGCATTAAACGAGAAGTATTGGTAGTAAAATATACGCTTCCCAATACTTGGCGTGTGACATTGCAGCTGTTACAAGCCACCTCTATAAATCGAGAACTGAGTGATCACAAACGGCTGATCGCTCAGAACATGGTCTTCAACCAGTGTCACTCACTGCTCCTGCAGGGATTCCGCACTCCCCTCTCAGTTACTCCAGTGGTCTTTGAAAGGATAGACAAGGGAGGGGGTGGGCACAGCTGGCTCTAGAGAGGCAGAGCCAGCTGTCAGACAGCCGGGTGGATACGGACAATAATGGGATATTTTCCAGCTGCAGTGCGGCTCCTGGGTCACAGTAGGACATTTTGGGTTACATGTACAGTTTCAAAAGTTGTTGAGGGTTTTATGACCATTTCTATTGTAAATTTTAAGCCTCTCCTCTATTTATTGGGGTAGCAGCTGGGACGTGAGAAAGGTGAAGGAGTTTGCGGTACAAGCAGGAGCATGTTATGAGTGATGGACTAATCCTGCACACACCTCATTGGTGGCCATTTCACATCATTCAAGCTGTGTGCTCAGTTGGCAAAATGTGTCGGTTCCACCCTAAGGTTCAGTGTGATGACTAAACAAAGGCTTAACTCCTGAGATAAATATAATACATCAATCCTATCCTATATTTAAAGGAGACTTTCTGGGTGTAGAATGGTGTTTTTGTTTCCCCTTTAGTATTATGTTGAAATGTATATTTCAGGTTTATAATAATAATTATAATAATAACAAAAAATGATAAGCATCAGATTAGTTGGTTAGAGACAAATAATGTTCATTTAGTTTCATTATAATAATTGGTCTTCTCCAAGGTGGGGCACCAGTTACATCAGTTATGGCTTCTGGTGATGTCGTCTCTGAAGGTTCTCATTCATCCAGGTCATGGTATTACTGTAAAAAAAATAAATCAAGGAACTGGACTTGCTGTATTTCTCTTGAAGAGGTTTTGCTGGTCATCCAACGTGCTTTTTTAATTCTGAAATGTGAAAGCTAGTTGGTTGACCAGCGAAACGTCTTTAACCTCTTGCCGTCCGCCCGTAGTAAAAAAACTGTTTTGTGTGCTGACCGGCTCCGTACGCTGCTGCACTCAAAATGCATCCCAATGTATCCCTATGTGTTTTATGGGCTCCAGTTCTCACGTGCGCAGTCCGTTCAGCTTACGACAGAAAAAATACTGCATGTCACATTTTGTCCAGTCCGTAAACGGTCAGGAAACCCAAACGCCTTTATAACGCATCAAAAACGCACTGCACCTCAGCTAACATACTAACAGCCCCACTCCAGCAAAAAAAATAAAATATATTTTTTTAAACTTGAACGCATCAAAAACATGGCAAAAACGTACTGCATCAGTCTGCAGATCTGCACCTATTTCAGTACAGCGCTGCATGACGGAATAAATGTCAGTTAAAGTACCGCAGCGCTGAATACTGAAAAATGGCCTGGATGGGAAGGGGGTTTAACACCGCGGATGTCAACTGGTTAAAAAATTCAGCAAGTCCAGTTGCCTTCATTTTTCTTTTTTTACAGATATGACATCATTAGGTTGTGCTGATACGGTGACAGTGCATACGCAGTATTGCCCCTCACACGTGTTAATGGCAATGAAATATCATGCATGCATGGTACTGCTGCAACCATGCATATGCGGGATCGCTACCATATTGGCCACTGCCACACATGCCCAGGATTACGCTTATTGATGGTGGCGCCTTTCGAGTGCAAGCAACTCTCATGCTCCCAATGTCAGCACCATAGTGGGCACATGTGGGCAAATTGTGTTGCTCTAAATACTCTGAAGTTTATGTAAAATGATATGTTCTACAAGAAGTCCCCGTCGTCGTGTGCATGGAGGGGTCAGCCGCCATCTTTAAGGCGCTCTAAAATAAACAGCATTCTAATGCTGGTGACAATTACGAGTTGTATTACGGGATTCTGTCACCCGGCTGTCATTTTAATGATTTACGTTAGTCAGTCTTGCGACACTCATGTGATACAAGCAAGGAGATAGCGGTCACCTTTTACTGAGGATATACAAGTTAATGTTTTACTGTAACAGAAATGTGTAGAAGAAAATAAAGAATATGTCTGTAAAATATGCAACGCATGTTAATCATTTCTAGATGTAAATATTCCGCGATGACAAGGAGTCAATGTTACTTTACAAGGTTTACAGTGAACTTCATTACTTCTGTTATCTAATAAAACCACTTCTGTGCCACTTCTCCTCTCCCTTCCCCTCCCCTATGGGCAGCACAGTGGCTCAGTGGTTAACACATTCGCCTTGCAGCAATGGGGGGACCCCAGTTCGAATCCCGACCAGAATACTATTTAACCGGCTCTCCCTGCATGGGTTTCTTCTTGCAATCCAAAGACTTACTGGAAGGTTAATTGTCTTCCACTGTGGGGGTTGTGGTGCACATTAACGGGGACAGGAGGGTGCATGCATGGTGCCGCTGGCTAACACAGGTGCCAGGAGACATGGGAGGGTGCATGCATGGTGCCTCTGGCTAACACAGGTACCAGGAGACATGGGATGGTGCCTCTGGCTAACACAGGAACCAGGAGACATGGAAGGGTGAGGTAGGAGGGTGCATGCTGGTGTCTCTGGCTTACACAGGGACCAGGAGACATGGAAGGATGAGGTAGGAGGGTGCATGCATGGTGTCTCTGGCTAACACAGGTGCCAGGAGACATGGAAGGTTGGGGTAGGAGGGTGCATGCATGGTGTCTTTGGCTTACACAGGGACCAGGAGACATGGAAGGATGAGGTAGGAGGGTGCATGCATGGTGTCTCTGGCTAACACAGGTACCAGGAGACATGGAAGGGTGAGGTAGGAGGGGGCATGCATGGTGTCTCTGGCTAACACAGGTACCAGGAGACATGGAAGGGTGAGGTAGGAGGGTGCATGCATGGTGTCTCTGGCTAACACAGGGACCAGGAGACATGGAAGGATGAGGTAGGAGGGTGCATGCATGGTGTCTCTGGCTAACACAGGTGCCAGGAGACATGGAAGGGTGAGGTAGGAGGGTGCATGCATGGTGTCTCTGGCTAACACAGGTGCCAGGAGACATGGAAGGGTGAGGTAGGAGGGTGCATGCATGGTGTCTCTGGCTAACACAGGTGCCAGGAGACATGGAAGGGTGAGGTAGGAGGGTGCATGCATGGTGCCTCTGGCTAACACAGGTGCCAGGAGACATGGAAGGGTGAGGTAGGAGGGTGCATGCATGGTGTCTCTGGCTTACACAGGGACCAGGAGACCTGGAAGGATGAGGTAGGAGGGTGCATGCAGGTCGTCTCTGGCTAACACAGGTGCCAGGAGACATGGAAGGGTGAGGTTCACTTTAATAAATCTAATTGCTAACACGTGGATAAGTGCCATCAGCTCAGTGCAATCTGGATTTCCACAGAATCTGTACAACTTGAAGGGGAGTAACTTAAGCTCTGATTATGCAATTTTCCATTTAATAAATCTCATTGTATGGGTGGAAGATATTTCATAAGGACATTGCAGTCTGTGGACAGAAGTGAATCACACGAGAATCCAAGACAGAATGAACCGGCTGTAGTTCCACAATAGTGCTGTGGAAACCTACCCCTTACATAGAGGGTAGTAGTATCCTGCTCTACTATCAGATTACATACAGCCTGTTCATTCTGTCTTGATCTCTCGTTCAGGCTCCTTCCGCACACTGTTTCATATGCTATGTAGAAAAACCAACTTAAAACAAATCTATTTCTGACACAGCTGCTGAATAAAACTACAAATGTAGCTTGTCCCCAACCCCTCAATCCAGTGCTTGTGGTTTGGGATATTCCAGACGGTTAGGTGTTGCCTGTGTACAAGTAATGGCAGGTTGCATCATTTTCTGTTCCTGAGATGGGTGTGTGTGCGGGAGAGAGGACATTCACAGCCCCTCCCTATTGCTGTATCTTTAAGACAGAGCAGAGGTGTGACCGGCATTCTAATAACAGGTTTCACTTTGGGAATCTTTTTTGCTTTTTTTTTTTTATTTTTGGGATTTTGCATCTGAAAAGTTCCTGAAAATACAAATTAGCAATATTCACATTATCAGTAATGTGATTTTTAATGAGTGTCAGAGATAATGTGCACCTGTCATTAGATGAATCAGTAGACTGCTTGTGCTGACCCATCCTACTGAAAATGCTCATTAAATGGCTGTCAGGCTGTGTTGGGTTTGATCTCGCCAACACTGACATTAAACAATTCTGGTGATAAGGATTTCTGACTTTTCTCTCTCCCGTTCATCGGAGGATATAGAATGGTGAATCATTGAAGATGGTAGATCTGGAACCACTGGGTTATAGCACCACCTGAAAGAGTAGGCTGTTGGGCACAAATTTGAGGTTTTAGATCTACACTATGTCCTTCAATGAACGCGGGAGAAAAGGATTTTACAGCAAGTACAAAAAAATCCTATTTTGTTTCAGCAATTCAAAGTATTGAAGCCAAACACATCCAGCATTTTCAATGGGGACCGTTGTTCCCAGGACAGAAAGCAAAGGGAAATCTCAAATTGTGTGGTTGTCACAGGAACAGAGAGTAAAATCTACCCATGGGGACACCTGTTTTGGTGACCACTGTCTAGCCATGTATTTTTTTTTAAACTTTGGAGTGATTTCCTTTCACTTCCTGTTGTGTCTCTGGGACATTCAGGCCCTGTTCACTCCTCCAGCGTATTGGGAACGCGCACTGCGTTTGTGTGCGATCGTGCACATTCGCCGCATGTTCCCACTGATTTCAATGGGTGCCACATGTCCGACAAACATGGGGAAGTAGCTCATCTAGCAAATTCATCTACATTCATCCCGTGTTTTTTTTTTTTTCATTCATTCATAATTGAGGATAAAGTAACCATACTATGTCCTCAATTATGTACAAACAGCGATCACTGACTGCTTGTAGCCGATCTCCAGCGGAGCTCAGCTTGCTATGACAGCGCTGGTTGTCCTCCGCCCACACCGCTCTCCTCTGATCTGTCACAGGCGGCCGAGCGGGGTGGGAGGAGAGACGCTGGACACTCAGAGCTCTCCTCCCGCAGCGCTCAGCCAGCTGTGACAGTTTCTCTCTTCCCTGCTGGGACACAGAGCAGCACCCAGCGGGGAGGAGACAATATGATGCACCGCTGTATCGGCCAGAAAATGCCAAAAGTGCCATTTTCGCCCGATATGCTTTGGCGGCCGATATATCGGTGCATCCCTAGTTATAAGCCGTCAGCTTTTTTTGCCATCTATGTCCCACTGGGGAGATTTCCCTTCACTTCCTGTCCTGAAGCCGCAACAGAAAATGAGAGTAAATCCCTCCAAAGAGCGGGAAATCCCTGAAGGTCAGTGGGGTCACCAGAACTAGCGTCCTTAATGGAAGATGTCCCATCAGTTCCTGTTCTAATGACAACCTAGAAATGTGAGATTTTCTTATTTCATCAGGACAAACAGAGAGGGTGAATCTCCCTAAAGGGGGCACAGACAGCAACTAAAGCCTGACAGATGTTCTAATCCCTCTTCACTCTATTTTAAAACAAAAAAGACAAAAGTTTTGGCTTTAGTCGCTATTTAATTCATATAAAATCCAATAAATAAAAACCTGGTGTGCTTTTGAAAAAAAATCGTTTGACAAATGTGATAAAAATTTCTTATCCATTTCTTTTGCAGGACCTCGCGTATCACTTTCTCACCTTTGTGTTCTACTTCGGAGCCTTCGTCCTGCAAGCGGCCGTGTCGACTTTAGCCAATCTAGAAAAGAATAGTACGAGTTTTGTGGGCTTCGTAAAAGGCAAGCTTGGACTGAATGTGGCAGCAACGGTATGTACACATGCAAGAGAGTATACTTGGAGACCCTGAGACACAAATTGCTTGGCAAAGTACAGAATTAGTCGACCCCTGAAATTCACGGGGGGTTCGGTCATAGAGCACCTGCAAATTATGAAAAAACACAAATTTTGAATGTGGTCAAAAATGCCTTTTTTAAATGCCTATTTTTTTTTTATAGTTTAAACCCTAAATATGCCCCCAAAACACTTTAACTTAATTTCAAACTCGGCTTAATACATGGGAATGTACCCCCTTTAAACAAAACCATACCCTCAAACATTACTATTAACCCTTAAATATATATATATGTATATACAATTGTAAATAATTGACCACAATAGTATATGGGCAAATAAAGGCTGCTGCCCCTTTTTATTGGGTTTTTAAACCAACATAACTTTATTAACCATTTAAAAAAATTTAACCATAACAACCAAAATTGACAGTCCAATACTGTAATAATAATGCTCAGTCACAAGACTCGAGCAAAAGTCCATGAAAAGTACCACTCACCAGACCACTACTTCCTGTCCACCCACAAAGAGGGCGACATTACCCCAAAAAAGGTGACCGCGACAAGCACCAGAATCCGGGAGGGAAGCAATTCCAAGGTGCCCAGATGAGGATGACTTGATGACTCCTGCTGAGGTAAATATAAAGCTGCCCAGTAACCAATACCCGTTTATATAAACTCAAGGATACCACAATTGGCCAGGTGTTTTCCCTCCAAAACGAAGAAGACCAATCCTGATGCCAGCTACCCTACGATTCTGCCCGGTGACAGCCTCAGCTACTAGGTAAGAGTCATATTGATGCCTTCGTATCTGCCCAGCTACAGAGTCATGCCCTTAGCCATCTGTAATAGAAAAAAGAGCCAGCAGCGTATCCTACACACAACATACCAAAACACCCTATATTGATATATATACAGTATATACCCTTTAATATATGTATAAAATCATTATTAAATAATTAATATTATTAAAAAAAACGTATTGTTTTGCAAGTGCAACAAATAACATGGGGCCACTACTCCTATTCGTCTTTTTCGTTGCCCTACCATTACCCTTAAAAAAAAAAAGAATGTAAAGGTAAACCCGTAGTCTGTACAGTACTGTAGGTTATGTCTCCCGCAGTGCTAGAATGTAAAAATACAGATGTTACTCCTATATGGTAAAAATCCGCGAATGACCTGAGTCTGTGAACTTTGAACCGGGGGCCGACTGTATTATAATTGCTTACCTGCAGTGATTTTCCTTTTTCATAAATTACTTTTTATTTACTCGCATTGTGCCTCTGGACTTGTAAGAAAATGTGATTTGTCAATTCCCTAGCGCAGTCCCCTCCCTTGCATCTCATAACCCTTTTCTGATAGTGTCCAATTACTCTCTGTGATGGCCCTCCCTTGGTATGTGGCAGGGGTGAGTCCTTTGTCAACATACCTTGTGCTATAGTATGTGGGTTTTTTTTCCTTTTAAGAAAGTTTGGAGGTATGCAGCTGTATTTCTGCAGAGGTCTAAGGCCCCATTCACACTGAGCGTATCGCAAATCGCGCGTTTGTCGCGCGATATCGTGCAAATGGTTGCATTGAACAAAGTAGAATCACGCCGAAATCCGCTCCAAAAAGGGTCCTGTTGTAGCGACCCGCGACAACGACGAACAGAGCCCCATTGCCATGCATTGGAGAACGATATCGCGCGGATTACCGCGCGATAAAACTCTCAGTGTGAATGGGGCCGAAAGGTGCCCATACACCTATCGATTATCATTTAGGAAATCGTCCACGAACATTCTTTCAAACGATTCGATCAGTTGATGGGAACCCAATGATTTTTTTACTGTACTTCTGGCCGAATTTCTTCGAACCGTCAGGCTGGAAAACTTTTTTCGAATCGTATGAAAATCGATGGATTAGTGGTGTTTTCATATGAAAAAAGTCGCAACATGAACACTAAACATGCGCAAACGAAAAATCGTTCGGTCGATCGTAGAAATTCGGCAAGTTAGTATTGCTAACCAACGATTATCAAAATCGGCATTGGTCTGTGCTTGATGAGGTATTTGAGCTAGAATCGAAAGAGGGTTCTTGGCAGCAATGAAAATCCCAGTGTATGGCCAGCTTTAGGCACTGACCAGAGGTGTATCTACAGTAAATTACGCCACTGGCATCACTGGTTGTCAGGAGCTGGGCAAGGCGTTGGCCAGAGAGTCCCAGGTTGCAAAGACCTGGACAGGGAGATGTGTATGAGGGAGGGGTAGGGAGAGGGAAAACAAAGTCAGCTGTCAGGGAGCGGGGGCCCCCTTCACATGGCAGGGAGCGGGGGCCCCCTTCACATGGCACCAAGGGCATGTGCCATACCCTTGATATGCCATTGTGCCTGACTGCAACTCTCTGGATATTTGGCAATTTCACTGCTGTGCTGCTCACTGTTTTCCTTGCTGGAGAGGAAGCTGTACCTGTGGACCTGCAGTGCAAGATTCTCCTTGCTTCTGTTTCATCCATTTTATAGCTATATGTTTTGTGAACTTTTGCTGCAGCAGGGGGACAGCTCTGATATGGGGAAGGCTTTGCTTCCTTCTACCGAGATGGCCACCTCTGCACAGAGACTCCCAAGGGGAAAAGATCAGCTGCAGGAAGACCACAACCAATACTGGTGACTAGTCCTTTACCCTCTGCTTGCCTTTTTTGGGGCACAGGGTTCAGGATAGAACTGTGCGACCTGCCACTGCTAACTTGCCCCAGGGCTGTCATCCTGATCCTCCCTTTGCTAGCTATTTAGACCCTGAACTGTAACAAGAATGTTGATGGATATTTCGACTTCATATTCAGAGCTCATTGACTCACTAGATGGCAAAGCTAGACTCAGAATGATAGAACCTGTCAGCAATAGTCGTTCACATATTTCTTACGTCTGACACGGGTTGCTATTGTGGACTTTCTATTTAAAATGCCAATTGCCTGGCTGTCATGTGGACCCTGTGGCGTCAATACTCTGTGTCAATGACACAGCGCAAGTATGCAAATCCAGAGAGAAACTCAGAAAGATGTTAGATGTCCTCATCTGCATACTTGTCAGTAATTATTGAAGCTAGAGGCCTAGCATGACCAATAAACTAGTTATTTCAGAAGGCTCATTTGGCAGCCTGCTATGTTTACTTTCATGACTGGTTTCTTTTAAAAAGAATATTGTATTTTTCTAGATTTCCATGTAAATAAATTATACCTGTACGGACCTCATGGTGGAGCTGTAATGTGGGCAGCCAGTCACTGCAGCTGAGAAGTTTAGTTCAGATGGTCTATGCTGTTTGAAAGGCTTATTGTTCAAAGTATGTCTAAAGCAATGCTAAGAAAGCTGTCTTTTACACCCTCTCACCGGCGCAATGCACATATGAGTTACCCCAGGCTGGGCTGTAAATGCTGGATGTGCATATCTGTGTCAACCAGCCCACTGATCATACCCATTAGCGCACTCCCAGCACAGAGTCCAAGCTTTCACTGGTAGCGCCTGGTCACTGTTTACTATTGTGAGCCAGGGGAAGGAGCTCTTGATCATGTGCCCCTGGCTGTCACAGCGGGCAGATGATCGAGAGCTCGTTTTACTGGCTCCCAGTAGTAATCATATGATGACCGTAGTGATCACATGATCAGGAAGCACACTCCTGACTCCTGGTGTTAAGATCCCCTTAAAGGAGAACTATGGGGTCAGGGCTTTTCCCCATAGTTCTCCTAAGGGTCACGGGAGAACACAAACTAGCATTCTCCCGTGACCCAAAGATCAGTATACCGTGAGCTACAGCTTGCGGTATACTGAGATGCCGCAGCCAGACTGGATCCAGACATTGCTGTCGAGATCCACCCAGCTGTGGGATTGACAGTTGGCTCTGCCTATCCAGAGGCAGAGCCAACTGTGCCCGCCCCCACCCCCGTCCGTACCATCAGTCAGCGCTGGAGGATCGGACAGGGGAGGGGGGGAATCCCTGCAGGGAGCCGTGAGTGACAGTCACGGCTCTCTGCAGGGATAGATCGAGAAGTGAGCGACGGTATGTGTTTGCTCACTTCCCGATCTACTGAGCCGACCTGTGACAGTTTAATTGTCACAGGTCGGCTCAGATTTATGAGGTTGAGTGAGTGAAATCACTGGCCTCATAATTCTCCTTTTTAAAGGGTTGATGGCAAGGGGTTAAAAGAAAACCCTCAACAGTCTGAAGATGTTCTCTTTTTTTGCACATGTGAAACACGAGCAGTGATATTATCAGTGGATACAGAAACATATAAATAAAGTCCTTGGTAGTACAGAAGAAAAATCAAAGTCACCAATACGTCTTTTTATTGATGCATGTTCACATTATCACAAAGCTTTGTGAATGTGCGTCAATAAAAAGACGTATTGGTATCACAATTGGAGTTCTGGTGACCACTCTTTTTCCCACCCCGGACTATATTAGGATTCTACAGTCAGGAGTGCAATGGGATACGTGCAGTAAAGTCCTTGGTAGATCTTGAGTTCAACTCTGCCCCTATAACCACACTACTGGTCCTATAACCTGAGTCTGTTGCATAATTAAAATTCCCAAACCCGCATTACCTGTGAAGAAGCAAGGGGGATACTTACCTCTTCCACACTCTCGCCTCTGATCACCACTCTGATCCCCAGACATAGTCCCAGCTGAAATCTTCTCCAGGAATTGACCTTTTTGGAGGTGTCTGCTCAGCGTATTTTGGTTCATCTCACCAACCTATACGTCACTACTGTCCTTCCTTTTTTTTTTTTTTCTCAAAAAGCCTAACAAATCTTGCAATGTGATCTTTTAGGTTTATTCGAGTCAAGCAAGACTGTGAAAACAAGTCCAGTTGAATGTCACTATTACTGGGTATACCATGACTTGGATAAATGGTATCTTCACAGCCATTCGAAGTAGTTAGAACTCTCTCTTCATTCACCACCATGTCATTCAGATGCACGTAAAGCAGGCAGGCCATCGGCAGCCAT